TCCAGGGTTTTGTTTTTATAATCTTAACCACTGGTCCACGTATTTTTCTAAAAAACCATTTAGCAGCAACCTCAACGACTTAGTAAGTAATAAAAGTTAAGCTGATCTAACTTGGTTGTTACTTTCAAATTTGTTTCTTAGCTCCTGAAGATAACAGCATGGTCTGTCGAAAGCTCGAGATTTACGTCACAACAGTTCACAGCGCTATAAGTTGTCGATTTCCAATAAACAATCTAGTTTGTATTTCTTACCCAACTGGTTGTTGGCTCCGACAATGACTACCACACATTATATATGTACATATACAGGGTGTCCGCAAAGTTGGGGTTTTCCTTTACACGACGTGTAGATCTTGAAAACATAAGCAATTTTTCTTAGTACCATATACACCAATGTCTTAAGGGAACCGAGATAAAGGGCTCTGCAACATCAAAAATATCTGAATACCGTCCTGTAGCCGCGACATCACCGACTGGTACGAGGTCACTGGCTCAACCCGACGACAGAACTGGGTCGGGGTTAGTGTGTCAGGTCAGTTTGCAACCGTCAACCGACGGTTACGGTCACGCGTGTAGAGGTAATCGCGTAGACGAGAATCCCTCAACAAGCACTAGAGACGTGGCTAGAGAAGTGCAAGTATCAAAAACTAAAGTGTGGCAAACGCTGCGAGAAGAGGGGCTGTATCTGTTTCACGTCCAACGTGTACAAGCCCTTCAACCTGACGATTTTCCAGCAAGAGTGCGGTTTTGTGAGTGGTTGTTGCATCAATATGACAATAATCCGGACTTTTTGAAGTGCATATTGGTGACAGACGAATCTACGTTCACGCGTAATGGGGTGAATAACTTTCGCAACACTCATGTTTGGTCAGTAGAAAATCCGCACATTTTCGGTGAATGTTTGGGCTGGCATGGTGAACGGTATGCTCATTGGACCATTTATTCTCCCAAATCGATTGGACGGGATGCAATACCTAGACTTTTTACGCAACATTTTGCCTTCCTTGTTAGAAGATGTGCCATTAAGTGTAAGACAATCAATGTGGTTTCTGCGTCTGCTCGGTAGCGCATCAGCTGATTTCATTTCTGTTGGAGCGGTATGATTTCGGGCAGAGACGTACTTAGCCCTTCTCGTCAACTGGAGAGTGAGTACTTTTTTCTTTATTTTTTTTACCTGGTCGCCCTCGTTTCACTACACATTACCTTTGTTATTTCAAGGGTAATTGTTTCTGAAAAGGAAAACCCCAACCCTGTATTTGCTCTTAGCTTTCCATACTTATTCTGCCCCATTTTTAAAGTCTGTTCTTAGTTGATATGCTTAGTGCATAAACTAGCTTTCTGCAAAATTCAATCCTCACATACCCTTAGATGATTCAACCTGTTGGTAATGGAATCGGAATCATCCCCAATCACGATATTCGCACCACTCACGATACACGTTGAATTTATCGTTGCTTAATGCATAGGCAATAACTAACACGTTCCCCAGTTTCACGCCTCATGAAGGGTGTTCCCCTTGCAACAAAAATAAAACTACTATATGGTTGTAACGTAACATTTTCCCTTTTTGCTTCTTAACTAATGGAATTGAAAATGCAAGGCTACACGCCATTGCTCAGTTAGATCTGCTAGTTGATACACGTTCGAGAGTGTAAGAGCATTGTCTGTTAGACGAGAAATGGTTGGGTATGTATGTCTTAAAACATATGAAAATCAGATTTATAATATTTTTAACACGATGCGGTCTCACTTCAGTCAGTCTGCATACTTGATAATCTATATATATATATATATATATGTATATATATCCTTGAATTTCTTTAGGTAGTATTGCAAAAGTACACTCTTATAACAAACTCGGGCTTTCGAAGATCTATGTCTTCATCGTCTGGAGCTGGAAACAATTATTGACAATAGCAACAATTAACAATTAGGAGGAAAAACAGTTACTTGCTAAGTCGGCGAGATTGTTGCTGAGATTGTTTTCAAACAACGGTGAAGGGAACACATAGTCGACGAATAAAAAATTTTACTGATGAGGTTCGATTAGGACGGAATTATTTTATTATTGAATGGCGAATCATAGCTATGTTTTTTTATTTTTTGTAAAGGTTATTTAGAGTCGGAAAGGAATGATTGTGTCATGTATGCAATATCATGATAAAACAATAAATAGAAATTGATGTCCTTATCACAGTATAATGGAAAAAAAGGAATTTACTTAATACTCAAAAACAATACTATAACTCATTCAATCAGCAGTACGATATCAAGCGTTACTATCTCTCTGATATTAACGAACGAATACTCGCGATTTTCCCTTTAAAAACGATCAACGCGAAAAGTTACAGCCAAAACACACGCTAGTTGCGCAGTATTTCCGAGTGATTCTTAATTTAGTAGCATAAAAGAATATAAAGAGATACGAGGTCAGTTAAATGGGGACAAAGTTGCGCATCCAGGTAAATGGCACATAGAAAGTTCGGCGATTTCGAATATTTACGACGATAAACAAAAGAAATCGAATTTTCCCAAAGTCGTTTTTTTTTCCTGGAATTATTGAGATGGGATTTTAAAATTAAACGTACATTATCATTTTTTGTTCTTCATAAGATGAAATAATTGGAATTTCTATACGACGTTTCGTCCGTTTACCCAATCATCAACCATATTGGACTTTTGTACAGGTTAATTCTGATTTCAAAAATATACAATAAGTCATACCCTATTTATTTCGAAAACTAATATTGTCATAGTTGGCTTTGAAAATGACAGTTTATCCGATGTTTATCCGATTAAATCATCCACGCTTCAGTTTCTAAGAAGAAAATCTGATAATTTGTCCAACAAGCTCAATTTTAGCACGATTGATGAGATCAATATAAAAATATATTAATAAAACATTTAATTATAATAAAAAAGCCTGACATTGAATGTCAGAATTATCTTTTAGTTGCTATTTACAGAATTACAGTTATTTAGAAAATATAATATTTTCTGTTAATATCCTAATTTTTATATTGATGATATTCCAAATTCAGTAATCATACTTATTAACTTTTTTTTACTTTTTACTTCGATTTGCTTTTGGAGCGTGTTTTTTAATTTTTTAAATTTTATTTTCTGAATAATTCGAAACTTCGGCTTATGATATATATTTTATATTTCACAATAAATCTAAATTTGCTTCAAATTTTTTTCAAATTTCAAAAATTCTAAATGATTTTTAAAATTGAAATTTTTTTTTCAAAATTTCCAAATCTTCATATTTTTATTTTCCAAATTTTCCAATTATTTTCCAAATTTTTAAATCCAATTTTTCAAAATTCCAAAATTGAAGTTTTTAAGAAATTTCAAATTTTTTCTCATAGGACCTTGACCCCATGCAAATATTCAGGTTAACCAGACTTCTTCAAATTGGCCTGTTAATAAAAAAAAAACGTCACATTTTCCGCGGGAAAGAATGTGTGTGTATGGTCAGCTAATATACTAAGTGACATATAAATCCGAACACCCAGTTTAAATGGTTTTATTTTAATAAAATTTTGTATCAGTACTTAATGAAGCATAATAAGTAAATGATAAAAATTTCAAAATGATTGCACTGCTTTAAAGCCCTTTGACCTTTAATAATGTGTGGATGCACCCTGATGTGCTACGCATTCTCCAAGGCGCCTAGGCATGCTTCTGATCAGGTGGTCAATGTCCTCCTGTGGTATCTCATTCCAGCCAACCACCAACTCCTCTCGAAGTGCTTCTAGAGTCTGAGGAGGACGTTGCAAATTGAGCAATCTCCTACCCATCATATCCCACACGTGCTCAATTGGGGATAACTCGGGAGATCTTGGTGGCCACGGTAACAATGTGACATCATTATGTTGAAATAAGTCTATTGTGACTCTTGCAATATGTGGTCGGGCATTATCTTGTTGGAAAGTTGGATCTGCTAGGGTGTCAAGAAAGGGTAAAAGATGGGGTTCTAGAACTTCGTGGATATAACGCTGCGCGTTCATGTTACCTCTGATGAAGGTTAAAGGTGACCTGGAACCATAAGCTATAGCACCCCAAACCATAACTCTAACAGTGTGATGAACATGTCTTTCAACAAAAAACTGTGGATTCCTCCTTTCACCACGTCGCCTTCTAACCCTAGCACGACCATCGTGCATGCCTAAACAAAATCGAGACTCGTCACTAAAGACAATACTGTTCCATTCCTGATCCCAGAGTGACCGTTGTCTGCACCACTCAAGGCGATTACGTCGGTGTTCTCGAGTTAAAGGGAGGACCCAGTGTGACCGGTATGAAAACAAGCCAAAACTTCTCATTAGTCGGTAAACACTTCGCATGCCAATAGGTCTTCCGTGTTCTGCAAACCATTCATTTGCAATGGACCTGGTAGTGGAGAAACGGTCCCTTAAGGCCAATAATCTTAGGCGGCGATCTTCACGGTCTGTTGTTCTACGGCGGCGTCCAGTGCCCCTTGCTCTTTGCGTTCGGCCTTCTCGAAGCCATGCCTGACAACACCTAACCACAGTGTCTACACTTCTTTGCACTCTAACTGCAATTGCCCGAAAAGAAAGTCCAGCTTCCCGAAGTCCCACTATACGGCCCCTATTAAACTCACTAAGTTGACGGAATCGGACAGGTCTCCGTACTCTAGGCATCGTAACCGATCGTAAAGGATGTCAAGAACCAAAATCCGCCAACGGTGATTCTTTACTGCGGCTGAAATATTCATTTTTAGAGAGTTAGTGAATTAAAAAAAAGCAGTATAAAAACCGGAATGTCCAACTGATAAGGCTGACAATTTTTCACTTGTGATTTACAGTAAGATAAATACATTCAAAATCTTTTATTAAAGTAAAACCATTTAAACTGGGTGTTCGGATTTATATGTCACTTAGTATATGTGTTGGCATCCTGAATCAATAAAGAATTAGTGAAGAAGCAACACGTATTCTGAGCATTAATCAAATCGCGTTATCCTTGCATTGCACCCCGAATCTCTGGAGTCCCGTTGAACCGGAAATTGTGTTCACACCTATCACAACACTGCTCCTATATTGGTTTATCAGAGAAAAAAACGGGCAAAAACGAACCGTCGTACACTTAGGAAAATAAACATGGCAGAATAACGAACATATTTGTGTGACAAAGTTTGTCTTTGCGTCAGTTCGTTCGGCATTATGGTTCGGCAAACCGTGGGATTCTTACTGGCCGCTGTCTTTTTTCAAGGTGTGTGAGGTTATTTTTCTAAAGTGTAAAAGTGTTTATGTATCTTCATAGTGCTGCTGTTATACCCACTGGAATGTCTTAGAGTCTGCAGATAAATTATCTCTCGTCTAATTGTCGCATTTTGAATGGATCACATTATCCTCAGTTCATGATGTAGGTTGGACATGTTTTAGATTCTTTCTATTCAAAAAAAAGTTTTCCATCATTTAGGCCCGTATCGTCAGTCGTCCCTACAATTGTAGGGCGCGTTTATGGCCTCCTTGATTGTCATAGTTTTCTACTTCCCCGTGTCAGCGCTCTATTTTGAGGTTATGTCACAAACATCTATTTGCATCAAATTGTGCTTGCTTTTCAGTTTTATCATATGATATTAGCCTGAAATTTCCTACAATTTAAAAGGAAAACATATCTTACCAATAGGAGAGCGCTGACGCTGACCGGTACGAGTGTAATCTAGAAATTTTTTAAGGAGAGAAAAGAGTTTGACAATCAAGGAGGCTATAAACACGCCCTACAATTCTAGGGACGACTGACGATACGGGCCTTAGATATAACATGATACCGAATTATATTTTTAGACTAGTGGTTCCAAAAACGGTGACAATATTCCTAGAGCAGAATTTTCATATGAAAAGAGCATAACAAATCTTATAAGCAGTTGTTTCCAATGAGCAAGACCTGACAAAAATTCCCAATAGTGACCGTTTATGATATATTAAATGCGATATTAGGTATTGTAAAAAAACATGCTGGAAAACATAGTTACAACAAACAAATATGAGCGTGCCTCAGGGATCTATTTTGGGTCTCATACTTGTCATTAAACAGGGTGTTTCAGTTTATTGTTGCATCACTTTAAGATTCGATAGAACTTTTAAAATTAATGCATAAAGTCTATATAAACATGGGTCAAAAAATGCGTGGCTTCCGAAATACAGGGTGTTTAAATTTACTTTCTAAAATACTTTTTTTTAAATATTTCGAACAATATTTGATACATAACAGTGAAAATTGGTATACAAGGGTTTTTTGGTACGAAAAAACGAACCATGGGCATAGTTTTACTGTAATCGCTAGAGGGCGCTCTCTACTGTACCTGTAGTGTATTAAAATGACCGAACATTTTTTCTTAGTGCAATCTTTTGCTTTTTGAATAAAAAAACTGATTCTTCGCACTTTTCAACATAAAAAAGGTTTCTTGTGAGTTTTCGTTATAGTTAGCCGTTTTTGAGGTATTTCAATTTTTAAGGTTCGATGCATTTTTAATTATTTATGGGAAAATAATATTTTTTCTACATTTTCGATTTGGGTATTACAAGTTATTAAAATGATCGTTTAGATTGTGTTTTTAAACACAGCAATAATTCCTAACTCCAAATAAACACAAAAAACAGAATATTAATTTGTTTAATTTTCCAATATTATTTTTAACAAATTAAATTAATTATTTACAACTAAAATGCTATTGGATAGTTAGGACAAACATGCAAAATCTAAAGTAGTTGCTCGAAATGTTAACCCAATTGTCCAATACACAATTCACATCTACGAATGATCGAACGTGGTATAGCATTATTCAAATAAGGCCTTATTTCATCACATGCATTCCTGATTCTGTCTATTAGCATATCTCTTGTGGTTACGGGAGTCTGGTACACTTTTTCTTTTAGAAATCCCCACACAAAGAAATCTAATGGATTTAGGTCAGGCGATCGTGGAGGCCAGGCGACTGGTCCTCCACGGCCGATCCATCTTTCTGGAAAATGAGCTGGACAACCATCAAGCTGGAACCAGGCCAATCTTCTTAAATCAAACATAACATCATCCCACATATTTGCATGTTCGGCCTTTAAAATTTCCAAGAAGGTCACAGCATTTAACCATGCTGAAAATTTCTTTCCCGAACTGCATGAGGATTTTCATGCGACCAAATATGTTGATTATGAAAATTTACCACTCCACGTCTAGTGAAGCATGACTCATCAGTCCATAAAACCTTACTTAAGAGCTCCCTATTATTATTAGTTCTATCAAGAATCCACTGACAAAATGTGATTCTTCGTTCTCCGTCCCCTGGCTGTAGTCCTTGCACAGGTTGCAAATGGTAAGGACGTCTATGGTCATTTCTAAGAACACGGTGAACATGGCTTGCTGAAATACCCAAGGCACCAGAAACTCTCCTAACACTTGTGGTCGGATCTCTATCAAACTCACGCAGAATCATACGGGTAAATCTGCGCTGTCGAACATTTATGTTTTGATCCCGTTGGAGATTTCCAAAACCATTTTCAATTATTTGGCGATGCACTCTTACAATTACTGAGCGAGTTGGATGTCGTCTGTTGGAAATCTTCGTGCGTATTCTCTGGCTGCTTCTGCTGCGTTTCCATTTACAAAGCGATACACAAAATGAATATCCGATAACTCTTGATTGGAGAATAAAAATGGCATTTTTATAAAACTTACAAATAAAAACAGGTAAAAGAAACTAAATTTCCTGCATTCATAATTGCAAAAAAACGTTTCAGGTTTCAACAGACAACAAAACTAACTGTCAACTAATTGACGTTTAACCTTATTCTGCTTTCAATTTCAAAAATATTTGCAGGCACAGCCTACTTCTAAAAATTATCGAGATACTGACTTTTTAACGTTATTTTATCATAATAATTAAAAATGCATCGAACCTTAAAAATCGAAATATCTCAAAAACGGCTAACTATAACGAAAATTCACAAGAGAGCTTTTTTATGTTGAAAAGTGCGTAGAATCAGTTTTTTTATTCAAGAAGCAAAAAATTGCACTAAGAAAATTTTTTCGGTTATTTTAATACACTACAGGTACAGTACAGAGCGCCCTCTAGCGGCTACAGTAAAACGATGCCCATGGTTCGTTTTGCCGTACCAAAAAACCCTTGTATACCAATTTTCACTGTTATACATCAAATATTGTTCGAAATATTTAAAAAAAACTATTTTAGAAAGTAAATTTAAACACCCTGTATTTCGGAAGCCACGCATTTTTCGACCGATGTTTATATAGACTTTATGCATTGATTTCAAAAGTTCTATCGAAACTTAAAGTTATGCAACAATAAACTGAAATACCCTATACCACTACAACCAGGCCATGACAAATATTCAGTCATGGACCACAGAAAAACAACATACGAAAACGTGACCAACCGCCTTTATCCAATATCTGCTATCCAATACAGTGAAATGTACATAATGAAAATTCAAACACTATGAAATATAACCTCACGCTCTTTCTAATAGTGGCCCAAGGCAAAATCGATCCGTGTAACAAAAGTACCTGCATCAGAAAATGCTGCCCGTTAGGCCATGCTTTGATCAACAAAATTTGTATCCCATCGGACATCCCTTTTATGATAAACACCTCTTTTTCGCCAAACTTCCGGTTCGGATACGAGTGCGGGGAGAACAAAATTAAAGTGGGACCGATTCCGGACTTCTTTATCGACAACACCGGAAAGTTGAGCATAGTGTACAATGAGACGATCATCGTTAAAGATTGGTATGATTACTGTGTGGACTATATAGACAGTTTTGGATCTGCCAGTGCTATTGTGTGCGAGGAGGACAGATCTACTGAGGCTACGTACCTTTATGGTAAGAGTTTCAATGTTTAGAACCCAAAAATGCGCGCTACTCTTTCAAAGAAGGTGTAATATCTGAATAAAAAGGAAACCAAAAGCATTGATTGTTCGTTTTTTGAAGTTTCAATCTCGTAACATCAACAGTTAAGACGTAGCCTTGAATACTGCTCACATGTTTGAACTTATTGTATGGGCCTGTTTGGGTCACTTGATCCATTTGATGTGTCCTTCCTCGAAGATGCTAACCTGTGTCGAATGTTATACAGGGTTATCCAAATTAAGTGTCCACCATTAGTAACTTTGTTATTAGTGAAAATACAAAGTTGTTTGAATTAGCAAACTAGTAGCATTTTTAACGCTGGTAAAAATGAGAAATAAAAAAAAACAATTGAGAGTCGTTATTTTGATTTTTTTCAGTAAAATAACATTTTTTTAAATGGAAACCCCTGTATATTATATTTTTTTCTGTTAAAGCATCAAATTTTAAACAAAAAAGCTTACAATAACTTTTCTCCTAGTTTACAAATTGTTGAAGTTATGGCCTCCAATCTGAAACAATTAAATTGTATCGACAAACTTTATTTTCAACATCAACTTATAATCTTACAAAATACAATAACAATTTTTTTTAAAGAAGATGCTCGAAAACACCACCTTGTTCTTCAATACATTTTTGGGCACGTTTTTCAACTGCTCGAACTGTCTTAAGTATGGTCCTACCATCTATCTGGGTTATCTTTTCCCTAACTGCAGTCTTTAACGCGTCAAGGTTATCGTACCTTCGCTTGTAAATTTGGTTCTTTAAGTAACCCCACAAGAAGTAATCAAGTGGGTTTAGATCTGGTGATCTGGGAGGCCACTGTATTGGGCCATTTGTTCCTATCCACTGATCATTAAAAGTAGTACTTAGAAAATGATAAGTACCTCTGGAGTTGTGGGCAGGTGCGCCATCTTGCTGAAAATGCAGATGATGTCTACTTATAAGATCCAATTCGTCTAAGAAATTAGTCAGAATTTCTGACATAAATTCCACATATCTTTCACCAGTTAGGGTATCCTCATAAAAGAACGGGCCAACAATTTTTGAACCAATTATACCGCACCAAACGTTGAAACTGAAACGGACTTGTGGGCCTCTTGGATGTACTAACAAAAGATTTTCTCTTGACCAATAATGGTGGTTTTTTCTATTAAACATTCCAGAATTTGAAAAATTTGATTCATCTGTCCATAAAAGGTAACGAAAGTTATTTACATTTTGGCGACAGAAGCTAAGATACCAATGGCAAAAAACAAGTCTTCTCTCTGGATCCCCTGCCAAAAGCGTTTGAACTGGTCGGTACTTATACGGAATAAATTTGTATTTTTTTAAAATCCTTTGAACAGTACCATAACTGAAATTAGAGTCCTTGAGAATATCTGCTATTGAATTCTCACGATAAGCTTCAAAATATCCAATAACTGCAATTTCCGTGGCCTCGCTTATTATGAATTCTTTTTTTGCCCTTGTTTTAGCAAAAACATTTTCGTTGCCCCTAAATTTTCGATAAAGTCTCAGAAAATATCGTTCATACGGTTGAATGCGAGCGGGATATAATTCACTGTAGTATTCTCTTGCTCTCAAGGAGGATTTTCTGCACACTAAATAGCATTCTAACATATCACACTTTTCTTCATGGGAGAACATTTTTCTTTAAATTAATGACACAATAAAGCTTATAAACAAGTATTTACACTAATGTTTGACATTATTTGATTTTATCATTGTTTTCCAAAGCCTTCTGTTGCGAGTATGTCCAGTTTAACAATTTGTCGCTTATCTTAATGCTGTCAAATCGCGAACGCCATGTTGTTTTCATAGCCGTCTTAATATTATAATACTGCAAATAATTAAAAATATTTATCGTTATTTTGACTTTATTTTTGACTTTAGCGGAAAAGTCATTATGAACTTTTTTGTTTAAAATTTGATGCTTTAACAGAAAAAAATATAATATACAGGGGTTTCCATTTAAAAAAATGTTATTTTACTGAAAAAAATCAAAATAACGACTCTCAATTGTTTTTTTTTATTTCTGATTTTTACCAGCGTTAAAAATGCTACTAGTTTGCTAATTCAAACAACTTTGTATTTTCACTAATAACAAAGTTACTAATGGTGGACACTTAATTTGGATAACCCTGTATACTTGATTGTCTTGAATGTTAGATAGCCAACTATTTTGTGATATGTACTTGTGGTTGCATAACATATTGCTAGAATTGTACATTTTGACTTCGCACATTTGAGATAACACGTATATCCTTTTTCCGTTTTCGTTTTGGGCCGGTGTGTATTTTTTTAAATTACCAACTACAACCCTCAATTACAAGAGTATTTCCGAGTACCCAGTGCTTTATTTTCTTCGAGTTCAACTACGTAGATCTGAAACTACATACACAACACCGAACATAACCGTTTATGACCTGACGACGGCGTTGCAGAGTCAATCTACTTGACGCCAATTGTTTCTTCGGAACATTAACTAAGGTGTCACAGTGGAATCTACAGATGGTATATTTCATCAACTGGTGGGCAACTACGGACTAAAGCGACGACAGTGACTTTGTTGTTATTTTTATGTCCACTTAAAGGCTTCTGAGAATTTTTGACTCGCTCTTCTCTTAGGCGATGATATACTAAGTGACATATAAATCCGAACACCCAGTTTAAATGGTTTTATTTTAATAAACATTTGTATAAGTACTTAATGAAGCATAATAAGTAAATGATAAAAATTTCAAAATGATTGCACTGCTTTAAAGCCCTTTGACCTTTAATAATGTGTGGATGCACCCTGATGTGCTACGCATTCTCCAACGCGCCTAGGCATGCTTCTGATCATGTGGTCAATGTCCTCCTGTGGTACCTCATTCCAGGCAACCACCAACTCCTCTCGAAGTGCTTCTAGAGCCTGAGGAGGACGATGCAAATTGAGCAATCTCCTACCCATCATATCCCACACGTGCTCAATTTCGGATAAGTCGGGAGATCTTGGTGGCCATGGTAACAATGTGACATCATTATGTTGAAAGAAGTCTATTGTGACTCTTGCAACATGTGGTCGGGCATTATCTTGTTGGAAAGTTGGATCTGCCAGGGCGTCAAGATAGGGTAAAAGATGGGGTTCTAGAACTGCGCGTTCATGTTACCTCTGATGAAGATTAAAGGTGACCAGGAACCATAACTCCAACAGTGTGATGAACATGTCTTTCAACAAAAAACTGTGGATTCCTCCTTTCACCACGTCGCCTTCTAACCCTGGCACGACCATCGTGCGTGCCTAAACAAAATCTAGACTCGTCACTAAAGACAATACTGTTCCATTCCTGATCCCAGAGTGACCGTTGTCTGCACCACTCAAGGCGATTACGTCGGTGTTCTCGAGTTAAAGGGAGGACCCAGTGTGGCCGGTATGAAAACAAGCCAAAACTTCTCATTCGTCGGTAAACACTTCGCATGCCAATAGGTCTTCCGTGTTCTGCAAACCATTCATTTGCAATGGACCTGGTAGTGGAGAAACGGTCCTTAAGGCCAATAATCTTAGGCGGCGATCTTCACGAACTGTTGTTCTACGGCGGCGTCCAGTGCCCCTTGCTCTTTGCGTACGGCCTTCTCAAAGCCATGCCTGACAACACCTAACCACAGTGTCTACACTTCTTTGCACTCTAACTGCAATTGCCCGAAAAGAATGTCCAGCTTCCCGAAGTCCCACTATACGGCCCCTATCAAACTCACTAAGTTGACGAAATCGTACAGGTCTCCGTACTCTAGGCATCGTAACCGATCGTAAAGGATGTCAAGAACCAAAATCCGCCAACGTTGATTCTTTACTGCGGCTGAAATATTCATTTTTAGAGCGTTAGTGAATTAAAAAAAAGCAGTATAAAAACCGGAATGTCCAACAGATAAGGCTGAAAATTTTTTCACTTGTTATTTACAGTAAGATGAATACATTCACCAACTTTTATTAAAATAAAACCATTTAAACTGGGTGTTCGGATTTATATGTCACTTAGTACGTAAAGACCGATGTTTTATAATTTATTAAAGAATCAATTTCGCTGCGTTTAATCTCAATCTAAACATTTTGCTCGTTTGTTATTTCGGTAACGTTTACAAGTTTGTATAGCACATGTTCATTGAATTGTTCAGAGCTGGCTTAAATCGCTAGAGGATATTATGTAGATGAATTACGTGAATTGCATCAATTTGTATAATTTTGAATGATGTATCAGCTGATTACCGAGGTTTCGCACCAAAGCCTGAACACAAGCGTATGACCCTCATTGTTTCTCTACACAATATTGGTGTGGTGTGCCGCGGGGTTCAATTCTAGGGCCACTATTATATATTATTTACATCAACGATTTCTACAGTAAGAATTACGTTATGTACGCTGACGATACGACCTTGTTAATTACTATGAAGAGCTCTTCCATGCAGCGACAACGAAATTAAAACGTGCACATCAATCGGGAATCACTCCTAAACAGGACTTGCAGATGAAGGGACCCCAGGACAGCAAAATTCGAGGCCGGATATTTTTTTAGATATGATTGTCCATAGGGTAAAGACGAGATAGGATACCACAGTTCGATACTCTGGATTCTTCTCCTGGATAGTAACTAGTTAAAGCATCAAATGATGTGATTTATGGAAAACAATTAACTCGTTTAGATCGCCAGGGATGGACTAGCCCCGCAACATTGCTATTTTTTGTACCCTGTATATTCATAGCCAAAAAATGTTATTCTTGGAACGTTGAAAAGAGTGTGTTCTTGTTTGATGACTCGTTTTTTAGAAAACTGTATTGTTTCAAAGATATTTTATCAACCATGTTACTGATTCCGCCATTTTTTACAACATTATCGTAATCAACTAGCCTAAGAACTCTCGAGTTTATTCGTATGAATCGCCTTACTTTATTAGTCAAAGATTTGTGAGAAAAAATCGTTATAAGCAATTTTACA